GGATGGGGGGGGGGGGTGGCATTTCCGCTAGGCGGGGAGGACAATGAGGGAGCGAGGCAAGGATGGAGCCTAGAAGCTAGGCAGGGCTCACGCATGCTTCCTGCCACACAGGCTGGTTTGTGCGTGGTGACCAAAGCCTCCTGTCCGCGCACCACCACCGCTACCACCGGCACCTGTGCCACCAAAAACAAACTTGGCGTGTAATTGACAGAGTGCCGCAAGGGCGTTATGGTAATGACCGTGCGCCGTTAACACGTCGCGTGTGTGTGTGTGTGTGTGTCGCGACATGTTTTGAGTTTGTTTAGCTGGACGCACATTGCAGCCCAACTTACCAGCTATTCTTGATCCAGAAAGCTTCGCGTGTGTTGTCATAGCCTGTGAAAGGGCGCGCCATGCCAACGTGCACACACGTCACATGTAACCAGGATATGCCCCAACAGAGCAGGTGTCTAAGTACGTCATTGAGGCTAAGAAACCCTCGAGCGGGCGGATATGATCGGGCCCAGCGTGACTGATGGTGACGCATTGCGCACACACCGACAAGGGCGATGGCGTGTCCAACAGAGGTCGGATTCTTTTTCACTTCATCGTTCGTGATCTCATATATAGAAGTAATTGGATCTCTGTTGTTGAAAAAATTTCTCATATGGTTGCCGTGCAGGTTGATGCGCGTGATGACGGCGCCATAGTTCCTACGAGTGACGCGGGGGGATGCTAGGCTTCGTGAACACGAAGTTAGTCATCGATCAGAGAGGGTGCAGGATTTCAAGCTCACCGACTTTCAGCAGCCTTGACACACAATATGCGTGCTTGAGATTGACATGATAGCCAGTAATGTTTGAAGCACAGCCCCATAGGAACGCCCACACACACGACAATTTTTATAAGAACATGTGCACGACAATTCTACATGCTGGACAAACAATTCAGCAGACCGCAAACATGGTTGGGAATATGACACGACCTGCTCACACAAACCTGATGTGGTCTTGCACCTCTGCAATGGTTATAAGCGGCTTCGCCCGTGTGTAGTCAAAGGTGCCACCTGGGAGCTCATCTTTGCAGGGGCGTTTGCACTCCTCTGCGGCAGGCAGTAGGGTGGGTGTGACACAGAGGACGACCTTGCGAGATCCAACATCGGCTGTTTGCGGATGTGCAGCTGGTCCTGTCAGCCCTAAAATGCACCGCACTCTATCGCCTCGTAGCGTTCAAATGGGTGATCTGTTGTGCACGCAGGCGCACAAGCAACGGCCGTTTTGCAGCAGAAAACTTGTTGTTTGATGCCATGTGTCAATTGATTGATGCAAAATTGCAGCAAGTGGCTCGCATGCGTATTTGGAAACACAACGCTTTTCAGGGGCTCACCGCGTGCGCTTTGGAATGTTTCGGTGTTCAGCGGTTTGCAGCTGCGAGATTCCAGCACCTTGACACCGCTCAGCGCTTTCATCGCGTCCACGACCTTCCAACCACCACGGCAGGTGTCGGGAGAGTTGGGCAAGCACGAGAATAGCTGCAGTTCGCTGACAACCAGCCCCGCATCCAAGGCGCTGACGCGGAGGGCCGAGGCCATGGTCGCCTCCGCCACAGCTGCGCATACGCGGTGCATGTGTCGCAGTCGCCCTGCGGGCGCGGTGCACGTGTATCATGGCAATTGTGCACTAGCGGTCAATGCCATGATTGCTTCCATCCTGCTGAAGAGCCGTGTGGTCACACAAACAATCTGAGTGCGCACAAGCGTACCATGCAAGTCGCGGCATGGATCCGGCAGCAAATTGACGTCAGGCAGCAACCCTCCTCACCTGATTCTGTGCTTGTGTGGTGAAATCAAACCCTCCGGTGTCAGAGGCCATGTCAGACCTAAGGGCGCGTGGGCCATACCAAGGTGGGGCAGCCAGATGAATGATGGTGGTGGTCGCGTGACTCGGATCGAAAGCTTCACGACATCATCAACCCGTTTGCTGAAGAACGCAGACATGCGCATGCACGTGCTGTAAAAATGCATGTATGCACGTGCACATGCATATGTGTAAATGCGTGTGTGCGCACGCTGTGTGTGCGCGCGCACAAGTGTGTGCGCCAACACGCACTTGTGGGCGTGCGTGTGTGCGCGGGTGCGTTCGTGCGTGCGTGTGTGTGTTTGTGTGTGTTCACGCGCACATGCGCGTTCAAAGGTTTAGGTCGTGCGCCGCAATACCCGTCCGACTCGGGCCACGCAGCAACCAGACCAACGGATTTGGTGATGAGATTCATTCTTATCATTGAGAAGCTCATGCAGCTTGCCGGTCAGCATGTGACCGGCAAGCTGCTGCTGACCACACTGTCAGTAGCCAGGCCACAGTGCAGGCCAGCTGCGGTGGCTCAACAGCCAGCTGCAGGCCTCTCAGACCCGAACCTGGGTTTGGGTCCAGAGCTTAGGGCTTCAACCCGATGCAAGCCCATGAAGGATTGGGCAGCGCCACTACTGCTCACAAGATAGGGCCCACAAGGCCAAACCCTGACCCCCAGGCCGTAGCCTGCTCGCCAGCCTTGCGATCTCGATCCCTTGCAGAAGTGCAAGGATCGGCAGTGAGCCTCGGATGCTCATCAGAAGCAGTTGGCTTATCAGGTCAGCCTATCAGCCAGCAGACCTGGCACACAAACACCAAGCACACCTGTACTTAGCGGGGGATGCTGACGTCAGCAGTGCCGCCTTCTCCAGTACGTCCGCAGCATCCACGCTCCGCCCGCACAGCGTGGCGCTGCCGCGTGAGGCGCAGCCGCTGCCCTGAGCCCACCGCTGCTGCCAGGCAGCCGCTTTGGCCTTTGTGGCCTGCTGCCAGTCGGTGTAGAGGTTCCTCGCCTCCAGGGAGCTCGAGCCAAGCTCTGCGTCGGTGCTGGGCACGCCCTGGGAGGCCGCGGGAAGCGCGAGCATCAACGCCACCGCTGAGGCCGCCGCGAAGGCGGCCCAGCGCCGCAGCAGCATCTTGAAGTGGTAGGGCCGTTGAAGGGGTGAAAAGGGGTTGACACAGGGGGGAGGTCCCCAGGATCTGGCTGGGCCACGAGACGGCACGAGCGTAGGCACTGCTGCTCGCAGGCCGCCCAGGGAGCCGCGCCAAAAAGAGGCTGCGGCAGTGCAGCTCAGCTGCCGAGCAGGTACTGTACGTGCACGTGGGACACACCTTCTACTGCCGCAACACAAATGAGCGTTAGACGTGCCGTCGGTCGGCCCTCGACCGATGGGTGCCCCCAGCGGTGGATGCTCGGATTTGTTACAGTTACTGCAGAAATTGTCGCGGAATCACGTTGATGAGCTAGATATTCAAAAATTGATGATATCGGATGCACCGGAAGGCTTCGAGGGCGGTGTCAGATCCACTTGGGAAATTCATTCGAGTGTGACAGAGGGTGGGGGCCAGGATGGAGCCGCTTTGCAAGAACAAACATTACATACTGTACGTGCTTCCATGAATGCCAGGCGCATGAACCTTACCAACGTAGACAAAATTCCGTCGTAGCATGCATGCAGTAACGAGGGCGATTACCGTGGAGCGCCTAGAGTGGTCACCACCGTGGAACCGTAGATGAACCTTACCAATGGAACAAGCTGGCAGCGCCGGCAGTGGGCATGCAGCCGGCCGGGCACAACTGCAGTGCCATCCAGCAGTCGCAGCAGCGGCAGGCGGAGCCGGCGGCACTTGAAATGTAGCGCAGCGCAGCGGCTGGTGCTCTACACAAAACCCGACTGCCCATTGTGCGACGGACTAAAGGTGACCCGCCACTACCGTGGTGTTGCACCCACATCCGTCGCCCTGCAGTGCCAGCCAGCGACGGCCGTTGCTTGCTTTCGGTTGTTGTGGAAATGCATGCATTCCCAGTCTCAACGCGCACCGACGCCCCTGCCTGAGAGCGCAGGACAAGGTCACAGCACTGATCGACCGTGCCGCGTTCATGCCGTCGGCGCTCTCGGACGCCGCCCTGGAGGTGCCGGGGGTCGCCGCGGCCAAGGGACTGGGGGCCCGTCGGTTGCACAGGCAGGGCAGCACTGTTTTGCCCCCCAGCACGACGACGAAAAAGAGTGACCCACGCGCTTCTGATGCTGCTAGCAAATCGCCCGCAAAACATCTGCGTTCTCAGCCAGGCGGTCGCGCCCCGCCCTTTGCTGCTTGCACAAGCTTTACTTGAGACCCGCACCAACGCCCCCGGGCCGCCAGACCCCAATCATGAGAGAAGCTTCCGCGTTGCCTGCTTCTCATCCCCAGCCCCTCTCCTTCGCGCTCATCCGTCATGCCCCGCCAAAGGTGCGTGACATCTCCACCAATGCGGAGTGGCAGGACGAGATGCACCTGTCTGTCCCAGTGCTGGCGGCCCTGGATGCCGCGGGCAAGGAGGTATGCCGAGGCCTGTGCAGGCAGGGCCCCAGCAGCCCGGAACGCCGCATGCCGCCATGCAGGCGGCCGACCCGCTGGGGTTGCTCTCCCGCACGAGGAATCCATCAGCGAGGCAGCTACGCAATAAGCCCGAAGCGCACCACTGCCGCTCGCCAACAACCGCACGTCCCCAATACCGTAACATACCCTGCCGATGCAACATTCAGCCCGTCGTTGCTTCCCCGCCGCCGCTGCCGCCGCCTGGGCCTCTTCAGGTTGTGCTGCCGCGGCCGCAGCCGAGGGTCAGCGCCGACCGGCTGGAGCGGCACTTGGAGACTGCCCTGAGGGAGGCGGGGCTGCTTTGATTCAAGCTGCAGGGCTGCTCGGTGACCAGCACTCTGCGCGCGGAGGGGCCCTGTCAGCAACGGTTCATGGGGTCTGTGCGCGTCACGTGGATCATTATCTCCTATTAAGCGGATTTCCATTTCACCGCATGTTGATCAATGAATGCACAGCAACGACGAGTCATATCCATGACAGCTTTCCTTGACTGTCATACTGGAACCACCCGGGAACGGCAGCCTGCTGCTGCGCTTGGTAACATGAAACAAAGCATAAAGCGAGATGCACCCCGTGCAGGTTCCTGTGGAGGGCAGACACCTGGGTTTCCAGTTGCTGCATCATGTCGTCCGGTCCCCCCAAAGCTGCGGCCGCGCTCGCCAGTGACCGGGTCGCAACGTGTTCCGTGCGTGCAGATACAGTAGACACGACTGTTTATGAAGCAACATTGATTTCATGTGAGGGATGTGCAGAAGGGGCTCACATCATCACCTTGAACTAAGCAATTTCAAAAGGGCACATGCTCACAGCTGGCTGCATGACGTCCTGAGGTCAGCAGCTCGGGCAGTGACAAACCCACGTTTCACATGTGCCTAATCATGAGGCTTGTTGCGTTCCATGCAGGCCCGAAGCAACATGCACCCACTCCGCCAATGACTGACCCAACATGCAACGTGGAGAACAACTCTGTGACTGCGAGGGTCGTGTGAACTGCCACCCACCCCTCGTAGGCACCCCAGTGCTCCCCAGCACTCGTGACTGCATGCATGGTTTCAAGCCTATGTCGCCCACAGTCCAGCAAATGCACACCTGCAGCAACACGCAGGCAACTTGTGCTGAAACGCCTGGTGACGGCGTCCAAGTCTTTTGTAATGACCGGGGGTGCCTCGGCAGGATATGCTTGCGGTCCCCCGGGCGCTCATACACAAGCAGGATCCGATTGGCATGTAATTAAGTATTAACTACGGTAGCATTCAAGCTTTCTTCCAGGCTGAGCTTCGCGTTTGAGCTGCCTCACAATCAGCGGCGGCCACGTCCATTGAATACGAGACTGCAATGGCTTTTTTATCCAGCCGTGGTCCCTCTGTGCTGAGAGCACCCGCCTGCCGGACCAGGTGCGGATGCTACAGATCATTCGGCCGCCTAGGCAGTGTTTTCTGGCTATGAATCTATAAATGGTCGGAGAAACGTTTGACATCCCTTGCACGTGCTGAACCGCAGGTCCGCTGCAGTGGCTCGGGTCCAGCCGTCAACGGTGCGGCGCCTCGTCAATGCGCCGCATTGCCAGCGATGTGCTGCTTGCATGCGCTTATGCATGCATGCAAAGCACCACGCCATACACCATTCAGCACACCTCACGCGAACGTCCGCCACGCCGCGCCGCGTGCAGGCGCGCGTCGTGCGTGCTGCGGCGGCGCCCGCCGACGCGGCCGAGGTGCAGCCGCTTGAGAACTACGAAGGCATCGACTGGACCGAGGACCTCCCCACGCCTGTGAGCGGGGCGCGCGCGCATGTCCTTCTCGTCAGCAGCCGTGTAACGAATGGATGTGGCGGCAGCGCCTTCGGCATGAGGCTCTATAACGCTGCCCTGCCTTGCAACATGCGCCTAGAGGCGCATCACTATGATTATGACTATAACAAGTTGCAAGTTGCCCGTTTTTGCCGCCGGAGCCGTCTGCTGACCAGGCTGGCGTCCCCCCGCATGCTCCCAGGTGCGGCGGCGCGTGGCTGCGCTGCGGGAGGTGCAGGCGAAGCAGGACGAGGTGCAGCGCGCCTTTGTGCGGGAGAGGGCCGAGCTGGAGGCCAAGTTCCAGGGGCAGCTCGGTGAGGCGGGGGGTTGCGCTTGAGGAAACAGGAGGGGTCAAGGGGCGAGTGAAGCACAGGGCCCAATCAAAGCAAACGTTGCAGAGGCAGGAGCAGAGGTGTTGTTAGGTGCTGCTGCACCTGCGGGGAGGGGCGAGGAATGAGCGGGGGGATGAGCGAAGTGGCCGAGCGCGCGGGATGCGGGACGGACGTCTGGCGGCGTGTGCCGCTCGACTGATTGTGGGCGCCGCGCCATGGCAGCTGCTTGGCAGAGGGTTTTGGTGCAGTTCGTGGCGCTCAGGGCCGCTGGGCGGCGAGCGGTATATGCGCCACGCTCCTCCTTTTGCTCGTCGACTGGCAGCAAGGATCCAAGCCTTGCCCTCAGACGGGCCAACCTAAAGATCGACACACGCGTGCGCGCGCGCACACACACACACACACACACACACACACACACACATACACGCACACACACGCGCACACACACGCACACACACACGACCCGACCCGCAGCCCCCTTGCTCGACGAGCGGTCAGCGGTGGTGGCTGGCCGGGCAGAGGTCGGCAAGTTTGACATCCCAGACTCCGAGGAGGAGGGTGAGGGCCACGCCTTGCAATAACCATGGCGGCGGGGCGCAGACCTGGGCCGCGAGTGGGGCGGCCGCCGGCGGCGCGTCATTTCTGGGGTTCTGAATTCAGCTGCTGGATAGGCCCGCCAGATTCGAGCCTGCGCGGGGCCCGGTCCCGCACATGTGCCGCCGCCCTCAGGCGCCGCGCCCCCACCGCCGCCGCGCGTTTGCAGACGCCGGCATCCCCGAGTTCTGGCTGACCGCCATGACTAACCACGAGATGGTGGGGGAGCTCATTACGGAGCGCGATGCTGAGGTGGGTCCTGATAGTCCGCGTGCGCCGCTTGCGCCCCCCCCCCCCGGGCGCCGCGGCTCGCTTAGCTTCGCATTCCTGGCACCGCTACGCACAGAAGGGGGGGGGTCTGTGGAGTGGCAGGGAGCGCGGTGTGCCTGGATTGAGGCGGGCATGCGCGCGGCGCGTCGGTGTGCATCCCCTGAGTTTACCCGTTTGAGGGGTGGCGCGTCGAGTGCGGCGCTGTGAGCGGACAGTGGCCGGCGCACACACACGCGCGCAAGCACGCACACACCCACACACAAACACACACACACACATACATACACACACACACACGCGCGCACACACACACACACACACACAAAAGGATGCCATCCCCGCTCACACTGTAATGCACCAGGTCCTGGCGTACCTGAGTGACGTCCGCGTGACGTCACTCACAGGCGACGACGCCGGCAGCTTCCGCCTGACCTTCACATTCTCCGAGAACCCCTTCTTCAGCAACAAGGTTTGGGGTGGGCGGTTGTGTTTGACGTTGGATGTACGATGTTTGAGGGTTGGGGTCAGGTCAAGGGTGCATAGGCGGCGGCCCCGAGAGGCCGCCCAGGCGACTGGTTAAAACGCCTGCTCCATGCAGGCCGAGGTGTGGCGTTTCTGCCTACTGGCTGAACTCCGTATGCCGCATCCTGAGGGCCGGCAACCAACGCAGCACCACCACGTCTCCCCGCCCCACGCCCTCTGCGAGCCCGGAACGTCTCTCGCTACGACAAGAACCTCTGCCCTATCCCGGGCCCACACACACACTCACCTACATACAAACACATTCTTGAAGACATTTTCTCGGTCAATAACACATGCCAGAACACACTCATATGCATACATCCCCCCCACACACACACACATGCATGCACGTGCACATACACCAGTCACCCAGCGCACATACATCACCCGATTGCCAACAGCCAACACACACACACACACGCACGCGCGCGCAGACCCTGGAGAAGACGTTCTACATGGACGACCCCGACGAGGTGGTGCCCCGCAAGTTTGTCGGGACACAGGTGCGTGGGCGGGCGGGTGGCCGCGTGCGCGCTCGGCTGTGTGTCTGGGTGCAGTCTGTTGTGTGGTCTGTTGTGCGGTCTGCTGTGCGGTCCGTTGTGCAGTCTGTTGTGCATCTGGGTGCGCGAGCGTCCAGGTGGCCGGGCATGTGGGTGTGTAGGGTGGCACATTGTGTGGGTTGGTCGCTTGTACGCAAGGACACTGCAGAGTATGTGTATGGGTGGAGGGGACGATTTGCGCTCTTGTATCGCGGTCCTTACGACTGCATCGTGCGTAGTGGGGTGGTGGGGGGCGTGCGGGCTGCGGCCCGCCCCCCC